CTCCCATGTTCCGCCAGTTAACCCGGTCCTGTGCTTGTTGCTGCCAATTTATACCCAGAAACTTCTTAATCTCATCTGCCCACCTAACCTTCTGTCTCCCCCTAATCCGCTTGCCTTCTCTGGGAATCAGTTAGTACCCTTAACGACCAGCGGTTTATCCTGTCTACACGCTACATGCCCGGCCCATGTCCATTTCTTCTTCTTGATTTCAGCTTTGATATATTTTTACCCCCGTTTGTTCCCTAATTCACTCTGCTCTCTTCTTGTCTCTTAAGGTTACACCTACCATTTTGCTTTCCATTGCTCGCTGTGTCGTCCTCAATTTAAGCTGAACCCTCTTTGTAAGTCTCCAGGTTTCTGCTATAGCTAAGTACCGGCAAGATACAGTTGTTATATACCTTCCTCTTGAGGGATAGTGGCAATCTACCTGTCATAATTTGAGAGTGCTTGCCAAATGTGCTCCACCCCATTCTTATTCTTCTAGTCAATTCATTATCGTGGTTCGGCTCCACGGTTATTACCTGCCCTAAGTAGACATAGTCTTTTACAACTTGAAGTGCACTATTACCTATCTCGAAGCGCTGCTCCTTTTCGAGGTTGTTGTACATTACTTTCATTTTCTGCAGATTAATTTTAAGACCCACCTTTCTCCTCTCCTTGTCTAACTCCGTAATCATGAGTTGCAATTCGTCCCCTGAGTTACTCAGCAATGCAATGTCATCGGCGAAGTGCAGGTTACTAAGGTATTCTCCATTAACTCTTATCCCTAACTGTTCCCATTCTAGGCTTCTGAAAACCTCCTGTAAGCATGCGATAAATAGCATTGGGGAGATTGTGTCCCCCTGCCTTACACCCTTCTTGATTGGTATTCTGTTGCTTTCTTTATGAAGCACTATGGTAGCAGTTGATCCCCTGTAGATTTCTTCCAGAATGTTTATATATACTTCATCTACGCCCTGATTCCGCAGTGTCTTCATGACGGCTGATATTTATACTGAATCAAACGCCTCCTCGTAATCAATGAAGGCTATGCATAGTGGTTGGCTGTATTCTGAGTATTTCTCTAATACCTGATTGATGGTATATGAATGTGGTCGATTGTTGAGTAGCCTGTTCGTAATCCTGCTTGTTTCTTTGGTTGATTGAACTCCAATGTTTTCTTTACTCTGTTAGCAATTACCTTTGTAAATAGCTTGTATACTACAGAGAGCAAGCTAATCGGCCTGTAATTCTTCAAGTCCTTGTCATCTCCTTTCGTATGTATTAAAGTGATGTTAGCGTTCTTCCAAGACTCTGGTGCTCTTTCCCATCAGGAGACACCTCCTAAACAGTGTGGCTAGTTTTCTATCACAATCTGTCCTCCATCTTTCACCAGATCTGATGTTACCTGATCCTCACCAGCAGCTTTGCCTCTTTGCATGCTCTCCAAAGCATTTCTGACTCCTTCTATCATTACTGGTGGGGTGTCATCTGGGTTACTGCTAGTTCTTATAGTATTAAAATCGTGGTTGTCCTGGCTACTGTACAGATCTCTGTAAAACTCCTCTGCTATTTTAACTATCCTATTCATATTGGTAGTTATTCTGCCTTTTCTTTGTCCCTTAGTGCATACATCCGATGTTTGGCTATCCCAAGTTTCCTCTTCACTGCTTTGACGCTTCCTCCGTTTTTCAGAGCGCCGTAGGTGGCCTTAAGACCACGTAGTGGGCGAATTGTAAGTTCGATAGCTGTTCGTTTTTTAGTGTTCTTTAACTTGCAAGTCAGCTTTTGAATACAGCAAGTGCGGTACATAATTATGTTCATAAGTCCACTTGATTGCAGTCTTCTGAAGGTTTCTTCACACATTACCTTTACATGAGCTCGTCAGCCCTCTGGAATTATGCACACAGCACATATCACGAGGCGTCATTTCATGAGACAAGCTCGGCACCATGTATATTAGGGTTTTAGTATTAAGGGGGGACACTGGTCTGAATTTTTTTTTTTTTCAGTGTTCCAGCTGAAATTTTAATACAATATGCATTTTTCACAGCTGAAAACAAATATGCAATTAGTTTTTTTACTATCACTTTAGATTTTTAAATATTGACTGTTACATAAACTTGCATTCTGTCCAGCCTTTTGACATCTTCCTCATAAAATATTGCTACAAATTTGATATGACAGCATTCCATGAAGGCCAGGGAGTGCAACAAAAACCATAATTTTATTTTAGCTTCATTGGTACCAGAGTTATAGCCTTAACAAGTATACTCATTAGAAATCTGAAACTGTTGCTTAAGTTTGTTGCTAATTAAAATCACTATTTTAAATAAAAATATTACATTTTTTTGGTTTTCTTGCACTAATCAATGTATAAGCTTTCAAATGCTGCAAAAATTATCAAAATCTGACTGCTACATCAAAAGATAGTGTGGGCAATGGCTTAGGGTGTGATGAAAAATGTTGTTTTGAGAAAACTAGAAAAGAAGTTTAGGAACATGCTGAGCACTTATATTTAACAAGAAAAGGTGTGAATCGGTGCATTAATCATGTTAGAAGCCACCAGGAATGTAGTCATCATCATTCTCCTTGGTGCGCTTTCTTTCATGGCTTGCTTGAAGTTTTCAGCATGCTCATGCTTCTTCTCCGATGCCACTAGTCGGCGACTGTCCTTTTTTTAAGCATCTTTCAGCACGGCCACAACACTCTGCTGCAGGTGCGCTCCTTCAATATGCGGCATCCATCTGCCACAATCACGAACTTTCGGCTGACGGTGGTGAATGACTTTGATGCATTGGCTTTTGCAAGCTAACAACTGCCGCAAATCGGACCAGCTGCTCATAGCCTATCCTAGAGAGCACGCCGCACAACGGCTTTCACTTGCGAGCAATGCCTTTTTTCATTCATAACGGAGATGATTATACGAGAAAAGCATTGTTCAGCTGCGCTGCTCGACAAGACATGGACCCCCGCAAACAGGTTCACAGCACATACAGGCGCGCAGAGGCCAATGGCGGTCCCCGATTCGTATCATGTGATGAACCAGTCGCAGCGCTCGAAGAACTCACAGAAGAGTGATTCTTTTTGTTATTTTCTTGCGCTGCACTAGCGAGAAAAACTGTTGTTATTTGAAGAGTGAGGCTCGACTCTTCTACTCATACGATCAACAATGGCTAGCGGCAGCGCATTATTAGCGGCAAGGTGCTCGAAGAATGCGTACTTTCGACCTTTAACTCTCACTTTGTGCTCTTTAGATGAAGTTTTAAAGCATTTCCAGTTAAGTCTCGACCTGTAATATTTTTTTTCATAACAGTAGAGGTACTAATCTTGTCGAAACAGGCGAAAATAAAAAATCGTTTTTTTGAAAAAAAACTCGCGTTTTTCGACCGGCATTTCTCCTTAAAGCGGCCCAACCAGCCAACGCTCGCTCCGAACTGGTCGTGCCCGAGGATGCTGGCAAAGTCCAGTGCCTTCTGCTGTAGAATTTTTCCCGACAGTGGCACTCTGTTGGCACGCTATTATACTTTAATAGCGTGCCAACAGATACTTAAATACTTTAATAGCGTGCTCAGGACAACTATTCTATTTCTAACAAATACAGCAGGCGAATTCTGTGCTTTGAGAAAGCTAAACTTGTTTTTTTCATGAAAAGAATTAACAAGAAGCACAATCATTTGAACATATTTAGGTGGAAGATGAGGTAATTTGACATTGTTGGAAACGCAATGAAAACAGTGAAAAACCAGCATCATCTCAACGTTTTCCAGCTTGAATTGTGCTTGCTTTCAGTCAGTATTTGATTTATGCGAAAAAGAACACTCGACGTCCACTGAAGTTAGTGAAGCGTACTTGTGGCCTAGCACTTTCAATGCTTAAATTGCATCCAGAATATTTACTGATATCAGCACCACCCGAAACTTTGTACACTTGCTTTAGCACATACAATTCGAGATTCTTTTCAAGGCAGATTTAAGCTTTAAGGAAACCCTGTCAGCCACCGGTCTAATGGGGACGAGGCAAACTTTTCCTGCACATCTGAAAAAAAAAATCGGGTATCCGTAAGCTTTCCCTTTAAGCGTTGAACGCGATAGCGATATTCTGTCCCCGGTGCGTACTTCAACAACTTTGTGCATACTTTTTATTGCGTGATGTTACCTGAGAAGTTTAAATTGTGGATTACTATACAGTGTAAGCGATAAAGTTGAAAGTGGCACGTGTCAGTGAAGCCTTCACATATGACTGCATTCTGTGTAATAAGTGCATGCAAATTCACAGATGCAAATATAAAAATAACGAAATGAATCTGTGTGCCCTTGTAATGGCCACAAAATACATCTTATTTATGCTGATCCAGTAGTTATTTAAAGAATTGGCAGTTGCATAAGCAATGTCGGAAGCTATATGCCTATCCGTGCTACAGATAGGACATCAAACTCAAATATTGACTTTTTCAGTGTCTTCTAGTATTTCCTTAAAAAACTTTGTCTGATTTGATTTTAACGACTTCATAAATTTTGGCGATTTTGCCCCTGTGGGTTGTGCATTGGTACATAAACCAGGGTTGCTCTCGACATCTCCAAAGAACATTAACAGAACACTCGATAAAGCAACAGAAGAAGAAGTCAACCCAGCTAGACATTTTTGTTAAACACATGGAAAGTTTCACTTGCACAACAGCACTGCTATACAATAAATAGAACTATGATTACATTTAGCAAGTTGCAGGTGACGGACCTCTTCATAGAACGGGCGTGAGAACATAGCCAAAGCGATGTTGTGCCCCGGGCACTCGATCGTCACCTGCTGCTTAACTCTCCACTCCTCGGACAGTGCGACGCTCATATGGTTTGGTTGCAAAGTGTTGCTGGCAAATATGTCTTTGGATGCAGAGCAGATTTCGCTCTTAAGGTACTTAAAGAAAGAATGACAACTGAAACACCTTCAGTAGGTTTTACCAATGCATTGTATTGTGAACACTGGATGAAAATCATTCTCACAATGGGTGCCTCGTTGTGCAGACATCAAGGAGCAGGCTCGCCACATTGAGAAGGCGGTGACCAGCAAGGAGCCGAGGTTCATTCTGCGCATCCTGCGAGCGCTGATGCCCACTCGCAAGCGGCTCAACGACCGAGTGCTGCGCAAAATCGTCACGGGCTTCTTCACCCATTCGAGCCAGGACAGGGAAGCCCTGTTGGGATGCCTCGAAGAGGTGCGTCTCCACTATGCTTGCAGTGTCGATAGGTTTCAGTTTGCAGGAACAATCCACTCACAGGCACACATTACAACTGGCTGAAATAGTGGTGGTATTTATCTCAGTTGGGAAGCATTTACTGTGCAGAATGACATCAGCAAGTGTAAAGTCAAGTTCTCAAATTACTGTTTACTCTCGTCGAAATGGACCATGATAATCCGGAAAAGTGAGTCCCCCGTTTTATCTGAGGTCCACGATATACAAATGGAACAAGGTCTAGGGTGGCATCACTGTGTGACGATCGTTTTGATTTGGCTCAGCAGTATGGGACAGGCTTGTTTTGCTGATATATGCTGAATGTATTCAACAGCATTGTTGTAAAACACTTCAATCACCACCAGCGGTTATTGACAAAATTGCAGTGAAAGTTTTAATAAATGAGTGAGTACAGTTACAGTAGGTACGGGGCGCTGTGTAGCCCCTGCACAGCAGCCAAGCTTAGTCTGATAATAAAGCATTTCTAACAGGCTTTTTCAGTCTTCTATCTTGATCGCCTAGAATAAATTCTCTCTTGTTTATGTGCACATTCTTGCTTAAAATATTGTAGCGCTACATTTGACGAGGACATGACAGGACAGTTGGTGACTCCACAATCCCTGCAATGTGTTTTGTTAATCCTTTAATGCCTGAATTATGAAGCTGCTGAACAAAATAAATAATTTTTCATTTTACAGCTTTAAATACAGTGGAACTTTGATTATACGTCTCCCCGGTTTCGCAACGACCTGCATTTTACGATAAATCAGTTTGGTCGCAGCGAAATCCCCATATATACAATGTGTTAAGAACCTTGGTTCTACGACGCAGTTTTCCGCAGACTCTGCATCTACGGTGACTATCAGATTCTGTCAGAAAAAAAAATAAACACTTTTACTCGAATCACATGTCGACCAAATATTCATGAGTACAAAATATGAGCCTGCGTACCCCCAGGCGCACTACAGGAAAAGTCATCTTCAATGAATGGAAAATTTATTCTCCCGGAAGTTCATGCACATACATTTCACTCGCGTGCATACGTATCCGGGGTCATTACCTAGTCAAGCTCTATCCACATAGAGTAAGTGTAGCTGACCAAAAAGCTGATATTTTCACATTTTCAGTCCGTGAAAACATTTCCTGGTCAACATACAGCTAATCTCCTGCCTCTGCCGCACTCGCAGTCACTAGTTTGCGCACTTAAAGGGCACGATGCAGCTACTTTCGCCGTGCCAAATTACTTTCACTTGACGTCAACGTTCATAACAACAGCAGAACACCACTAGTTGCACTTCATGAGGCAAGAAATTACAACGCGCACAGCTCAGTTGCGCGCAAACACATCGTACATAAACTCGTTCGTTGCCATTATGTGATAGCGGTGGCACTGCGTCTGACTCTTCTGATGGGAGGCTCACGGCAACACAATTTCGGTTTCATTTTCACGCATATCAAATTTTTGGACACTATTTATTGGTAGAAAGATGCGCGTTGGATTTGATTGTTTTTAAGAGTGAAAATAAAGATTTGCTCGGACCTCTTTCAAATAATTATTGCTGCCGTTAGCTACCACTGGCAATAATAAATTAATCCACCTTAAATGCAGAGGCAGAAAGTCTTGCCGTGGGCTTACTCAGGCAGTTTGTACCCATTTTTCCGGCAAGGCTGAGTGTCACGGTCTGGGATCGTAGATGTTCGATTATACAACGGTTGGGCGTGGTCCCCTAAAAGTTGTATAATCAGGGTTCCTCTGTAGGAAACTCAAAGCGATTCTGCAGTTAACTTATACAAAATGCAACTTGTATGCATACTTTATATGTGTGGCGAATTCTCCATATGCCCCAGAAGCGAGGACCTTGCAACAGAAAACTGGGTAACATTTCCTGTGCCACCTTTTGGGGGCTTACACACCAGATAAACGATATTGAAGATAAAACTTGCATTTTCTAGGTTAGAAAAAGCAAGGAAGTGAGAGCTGTTGTACACACTTCGCGCTTTCTCCCATCAGCCACAAAAAAATTGATTCTAGCAAAAATACCTTGGACAAGGCGGCACTAGGTTTTTTATGCAGAAAGCTGCGTTCCCTATGAGTACTTGACAGTCAGCATTACAGGCGGCACACATTTTGTGACTTGCTTGCTCGAAGTTTTTCGGTATGTGGCGAAATCGTGACACTCCGCAATAAAGGGAACGAGGAGGCATATTTCTTTGAATAGGGCCATTTAAGGGCCGCTGGGAGCCTCCACGGCTTGCTGGGAAGTACAAAGTTTGCCTGAGTCTGAACTGGGCAGCACCAAAGCACCTCTCGCATTAATATTCAAATTTGGCAACGGAACCTACTTGCTTGAAGCACCGCAGCGTCTTACTTTCAAAACTTTTATTGCGATGCCTGATTACAGAGGGACTAGGCTTGTGCAAATATTCGAATGCTTTGTATATTCAAACAAATGATGCAGTTGAATTTGCTTTGAATCGAACCTAAATTATTGAAGACTTCTAATTATGTGTGACGAATGAATAGGTGCATATTAATCTGCATGTAACCCTTCAGTAAAGGTGGTTTCACTGCAGTGGAGAGGTGCAAGTTATGAAAGCACTTAACCAAGTATGTATTAGTTCACATGAAACTTCATGTAAAAACGTGGTGTTTTTGGTGTCCTGGTATGTCATTGTGTAAATACTGCAGAGAAAGGGGTCACACACATGCAGGTGCCAACTTTCAACAATGAATAATCTGGAAACAATGACTTTTGTGCTCTAAATATAGCAAATTTCATAAGCTAACATATTTTACAGGTTATCACTTGCGTTCTACCGAAGTTCAAATCCTGCAACTGTTCAAACTTTGTTCCACTTTCTTTGATAAAAAAATGGCATTTGCACAGACCTTACTTGAGTTTTTAAGCAATATCCTACAGGTCAGTTTGGTCATGACAATGTGAGGAATTTACCTTGGGAGCATTTGCGGAGGATGAATTTGAGATTAAGGTGCGAGTCAACAATAACATTGCTAATCTATTTTCATATTACACAAAATGGCAGATAATACAGTTGAATCCCGGCACAACGAAGTCCGCTTCAACGAAATTTCCTCCACAACGAAGGTTTTTCCATTCCCCGTCGATGTCCCATAGGGTATAATGCTTCGAAATTCCCTCCAATACGAACTACTTCACGGCAGCATTTCCACTTCAACGAAGTTTTTTGCGGGACAGGCACGAGCAAAATTATTCAAATTACAGCTTATTGAAATTCTCAAAAGTGTTTTAATGCCTTGACCAACCATGGACCTTCATAACATTTAAAAAAAACACACACACACAAGATGTTGCTCAGAGCGTGCATACTGGGCGCGAAGGTGACTCGCTGCGCAATGTAAACAACACAAAGCCGCCATACATACCGCGATAGTGATGGCGATGCAATCAATGCAACGCGCTCTCATGTAGATTCAGAAGAAACGTCGGAAACGTTTTGAATCGTGTCTGTGTACAAACAACACGCATTAATTTGATTTTTATAGTATTTTTAATCATTTTTATAACGTTTGTGAGAATGGTTTCAATGTCAGGAATTTCCAATTTATGTGTACGTACGTACAAAATTGGAGATGCGAGGCAAATCCCGGTAGAGTGCGACGATGCGTTCGGACGACGGCTTCCGCTTCCGGTGGCTTGACTAGGGCTAGCTTCTTCACAACGAGCGATCGCACGCTTTGGTCATTGTTTGATTGTTTCCCGAAGGTGCAGTAACGCGATCAACGATGGCGCAGCCGGCGAAAAAGCGCAAGTTTTTGTCGCTCGAAGACAAGGCTCGCATCATCGCACAGGCTGAAGCTGGAAAGAAGAAGGCACTCATCGCTGAAGAGTTCGGGATTGCGGCGAGCTCTCTGTCAACTATATTGAACAGCAAGGACGCGATAGGCAAAGCTCTAGCTTCAGGGACGTCTGCTAAGCATAAGAAGGTGACCCAGCCAGTGCACGAAGCCTTAGACAAGGCTGTTTACACCTGGTTCGTGGAGACGCGGGCCAAGAAAATTGCCCTTAGCGGCGATATTGTACGGCAGAAGGCGCTGGATTTTGCCTGCATGCTCGGCATTGATGATTTCAAGGCCAGCGTAGGTTGGCTAAACAGATTTAAATCCCGCCACAGCATCATCGGCAAAGTGTTGTGTGGTGAAGCCGCTTCGGCGGATAAAGACGGCGCCGCCGCGTGGATGTCGGCCAGCCTTGGAAGCATCCTTAAGGACTACGCATCATCGGACATATACAATGCCGATGAGACCGGTCTATTCTACGAAATGTTACCGAACAAGACCCTGGATTTTAAGGGGCTGCGCTGTCAAGGAGGTAAACACAGCAAGAAAAAGATCACCGTGCTACTGTGCGTCAATATGGACGGATCAGATAAGCGACCGCTTTTGGTCATTGGCAAAAGCGCAAAACCGCGCTGCTTCAAAGGAAATCGGCGCCTTCCAGTGAAGTACGTGGCCAACAGCGGGGCGTGGATGACCCCTGCAATTTTTGTAGAGTGAGTCGAGGAATTCGACCGGGACATGGGCAGGCAAGGCCGCAAGGTTTGTCTGCTTTTAGACAATTGTTCCGCACATTCCATTGAGGACACGGAACTTGAGAACGTGCAGCTCAAGTTTTTGCCACCGAACTGCACGTCCATCATTCAACCCCTCGACCAAAGGGTCATCCAAAGTGTCAAGTGCACGTACCGCAAGCGCCTTATCCAAAGGCTGATTTTGAACACTCGGTTGGGTCGCGAAACGAAAATCGACTTGTTCATGGCGCTCCAAATGATCGCTGCTTCGTGGTGCGAGACGGGGAGCGCCGTAGTCGCGAACTGCTTTCGCCATGCCGGATTCGCAGTACAGTGTGCCGAGACTTCCGATTCTGCGATTGAAGCTTACGATGGCGATGCAGACCGCGATGAGGACAGGTTGCTGGACCAGGACGAAGAAATCGCAGTCGCTTGGGCAGACCTGCAGGAAAGTGATATGCCCGCCGACGTTCATATCAGCGAGTTCTTGCAAGCCGACTCTTGCTTGGTGGTGCGCGAGGAAATGACGGACGCAGACATCATAAAGAGCGTCCAGGAAGATGGTGTTTCGTCGGACGATGATGACACAATCGCGCAACGTGATTCCGCACTACCACCGACTTCACAGGTGCTGGACGCATTCGATATCATCAGGCGTTGCATCGGGTCGCAGGACGACGATGAAGCAATGGCTCTACTGGCAGCGTGCGAAAGTCGTGTTGTGCCATCGCTTGGCAAGAAGCGGAAACAGGCGAAGTTGAGCGATTTTCGGCATTAAAGCTTGTTCTTTTGCTTCAGCAAGTCCCGTGTCACGTATGTATTTCATCATATCGCGACAACGAATTTCCGCGATAACAAAATTTTGCGCCCGCCCCGTCAATTTCGTTGTAGCGGGATTCAACTGTACTAACACAGAGTTGACTCTTAAAAAGAGAGATGCACACAACGGTCGGCTATACAAGTGAAACCGGACCTAACATAAATCAGAGTGAAGTTCTATCCTAAGCCCTAGTCTGTGTCTATTTGAGGTGGTGTCTCGGTGGCTTCTTTCATGCGCTCCCGCAATAGTAGACCAATCTTACTGTTCTGATGCCTTGTTCCGGAACTATGATGAAGTGGTGCCATCATTAAAGTCGGCCTGGAAAACCTGTCTGAACGAGCCACTTGATCTCATTGCCGGTTGGTTCCAGTCTTTGTCGTGTTCTCTGGCTGTTAGGCTGCGCCTAACTTGACAACGATGTCTTGACTGAGGTGCAGGCCGCATAAGTTCTCGATCAAAGCGGAGGGGCTGTAGTCCACCCAACAACTGCTGTGAGAGGTTGGGGCATGTCCGGGCAGCCTCTTTCGATTCTTTCGATATCGATGGCCACTCCCCAAGTCCTTTCGCTGACAGCCTCAGAACCAGGCGGTTCTACTGCTTCCATCGCGGTAGCTACGCCCGTTTCCCACGTCTTTGCAGCTTGGCGTCTCAACACCCAGTGCCAGCTCACCCTCCGAGATTTTTCTTCTTGGCTCGGGTCGGGTGCCACGAGTCTTTGTCTCGCCACTCTCTTGCTTCTTTGTGTGTGGTATGCGTGCCCTTGGGTGACTCTTTTCTCTTTCTGCACTGTCGCCACACGCGTCGTGCCTCTCCTTTACTTATCACAGACAAATATGGCCCTTTTACTTTATAATATATGACACATATATTTGCATGTGTGTGTGTGTGTGTGTGTGTGCGTGTGTATATATATATATATATATATATATATATATATATATATATATATATATATATATATATATATATATATATATATATATATATATATAGTCGGGCCCGCCTACAACGAACCTGAGCGTGGCGCGGCATCTGTCACTGTATCCCGAAGTTCGTAGTAAATGAAACACAGCTTTCAAAAAAGTTGCGAGTGAAAACACAAACATTTTTTGCCCCAAAAAGTCCGTGATGCACGTGTTTCAAAGAGCAGAATTGATAAGGGCGGTCTCGAGTTCATTCAAATCGGCAGGGTGCTCATTCGCCAAGACCCGTGGCATAAGCTGCATGAGGTACTGGCTCCTAAGTTTCGTCGTTCTCGCAATCCGATTCCTCCAAATTGCTCTCGCCAGGTACATCATTCACAATGCTCCCATCCGTGCACGGTTCCGCAGTGTCGGCATCATCATCGGCCGCTATTAAACCAGCGCAACAGATGTCTTCAGACTCGGCATTGGGACCAAGGTCGACGAAGTCGACCTTGCGAAAACAGTTTTGTGCGCATGTATTCATCATCGCCGCCCACGAAATATTCACCATCTCCCCAGTTGAATACCGGGACGTCCGAAGCGTCAAGTTGGCTGCCAGGCGGTCAACAGCTATGAGCAAGCGCTCCGCGACGCGGCACCTAACGCGCGAAATATGCTCAAGCCAAGCGGTCACACTTTCGACGTTTTGTTGAGTAGCAGGAAAAAGTGTGCTAGTTCTCCCGCCGGCCATTATGACCACACACGCACACCAAGAGCGAGCAAGACGCGCACACACGACACACATGCCAGAACGCGTGGAATAGCTCAGGTCCCGTTTCCAGTCAGAAAACAGAACTAATTCGAGCCAGCGTGGTTGGCGTTTGGAGCGGTGGAGACGGGCGAAAGGGTTGTGATGAAGAGAGGAGAGTAGACTTGCGAGAGAAAGGCAAGGAGTTGCGATAAAGAGAGGGGTGGATGCGGCGGGAGGGTGACTTTGAAAACCAAAAGACATGGGTGAGGCAGGTTGGGCAGCTTGCTTGAAAGGTTCGCGAAACTCGCACGTAGAAAAACTTGGAAAGAGTGCCTGCGCACGCAGAAGTCAAAGCATGGCCGCCTGGATCTGTGCGTGCGGAGGTGTTCGAAGAATCGGCGGCCTTAGTCGAAAAATCGTTTTGTTGCGCTGGCGGGTTTGCCTGGCTTCAAGAACTTTGATATTTCGCGATTCGTTTTCCGCAAATTAACAGCCCTTTTCGTGCTTTCGCACGCGCGCGGAAGGTATGCTGAGTCGAGTGGGAAGTGAGAGAGAACAAGTCCTAAACACGAAACGAATGGCAAATTATCAGTCGGTGGGGTAGCGTATGCGCGTGCACTAGACGCAGACTATCGGATACAGTCGGTGGCCAACTATGTTGGCAAATGGTGTGGTCACTCCAGGCTGGCGACGCCAACGACAGTACTACGGATTAAAAACAGGGTAGATGGCCGACTGGTGTTCGAAAGATCGGTGGCAGTGTGAAAATAGGGGCCTCGGCTGGCGATGCGGGGTGCTCAGAGTAGCAGGGGGACAAGGACGGAGGGGTGCGTAACAAAAAGCAGATGGGGAATGGAGGAAGAAAACAGCTTTCCTTCCTCCATGGGTTGTGGAGAGCGGCAACTGGAGGATCGCGGAGGCAGGGTCGGCGTTTAACAATTAGAATGTATGGGCACCTCGCCGATGCCTGATCCATGGTCGAAATTGGTTTCCCAGGAAGTCGGCAGTCGGTGCTGTAACCCATCAGCTGCGCTCGGAGACATTCGTTATAAGTGCGATTTTGTGCAATTGAATCAATGTGTATTTTCACGGTCACGCGGACGTTGTTCGTTTCAAGTGAAAGTTATTCGTTCGTTGTTCGTTTCAAGTGAAAGTTCGTTTCAAGTGTTAGCTCAATACACATGCATCACTGCAAGGGGAGCCCTCCATTCATTTAGCTTTCATTAATTCGATCTTCTTTTAATTTGAACAAATTTTCGGGCCCCTTACAGTTTGAATTATCGAGATTCAATTGTACTTTTAGAAATTATTCAACGAAGATCACTGTTGACTTCGAATTCACTTGGAACCTAAAATTCACTACTATTAGCACAAGCCTAGCAGTGATGAACGTCAGATGCAAAACACAAAAGCATTTTGTTTACATTTAGCTCCATAAGAAATTTCTGATAAGTGATTGGCGAGTACACTTGAGGAATAATGCAACCACTTTGCCCTGCATTTATTTCAGCTGCAACGTTTGACCCTCTTGAACCATTTGCGTAACCAGCATGCTTGGGTTGGCTGGCTTGACCAGAGGCCACCAATGTTTTGTCAGCGGCAAGTTGAATTTACCGGGGCTCTTGAGAGCGGTGTGGTCAAGTCTGTTGTCATCCCACGACAGAATGCTTCATGTGCTCATTTCGGCAAGACATTCCACTCATGTCGTCCACTGTTCGCTAAAAGCCAACTTTGCTCCATTAATTTAATTCACAGACCAAACTAGTGCAGACTGTATTCTCAATGCCAAATGCCTGTGTTAAGGTTTCATTCAAATTCCATTATTTGTACTGTTTTCGATTTATACCGATTACTATTGGCTCCGACTTGACATGCCTCGTGCTTCGGTCTCATAAAATGATATTGTTTTAGCGGAGCTTAGCTTCAGTGTGAGGAAAAGATGCTATACAGTTAAGAAGGGGACCACAGTCTGAGCGCTAACTTCCAACTCTTGTTTATTGTGTACCTATTATATACAGTAGACTCCTAATAAACGAAACTTTCTTAAATGAAATGGCTACTTAAATGGAACAACTGCCACTAATATGTTTAATTTCGTACTTGAATATTATACCCCTGTTTATCTCTCAATAAACGAAACTCCTCTTAAAGGAAACACATTTTCCTGGTCCCTTCAGGTTTCGTTTAAAAGGAGTCTACTGTAGCTGATTCCACGTGACGCCGCACACATGACAAAACAGTACACGTGTGGCGCAGCCCATGTTACTAAGGAAACCTAGTTGTGATCTGATCTCAAATTAACAATCCTATATCAACGCTTCACAGCACACGCTCCAGAAAATTGAGCTCTTTTTCAGATAAGGCCACAGACGGCGTACTCACACACAGCTTTGCACATTTTGCGATAGCGTTCATCTCAATAATTTCCCGCATCAACTGGTTACGACTGCGGTCCAAGATGACACCCTGGTCAAAAAATGGAGTGCATGCACACATCTTGCAATGCATAGCCAGGAAACCACCAGAAGAAATCTTTTTTACATTGAAAGAGTGCTCGCGCAAGCTGTCATTAACACACCTACCAGTCTGTCCTATGTAAACCACGTCACGCGACAGCAGGGACATGTAGACGCGAGCTAGGGAACATTCAGCAAACTTCGCTCAAACTGAGCTGTGCTAAAGCAATATCATTTTATCATGCACCAACTTGCCCAGTCAGCAGTACTTGTTGGGTCTCATGTAGAGTATGGATTTGTAAAACAAGTCTTTGTGTGAATTGTGCAGCCCATGGAGACGGAAGGTGGCATAGTGCAGAAGGAGAGCCGAATCCGCAGCTCCAAGACATCGCACCTGCCTCTGCTTCCCGAGCTGGACGTGTACATTCACCTCCTGGTGCTGGTCTATCTCCTTGATGCACAGCGCTACGAGAAGGTGGGTGGCCGGCATCTCCATAAAAGTGGGAGGAAGCACTGCCCACTGTGCGTACACTCCAACAATGAAGGAGTCATCAAGAGTGGGTGATGCTTTCCATTTCTGGAAGTGTGAGCATGTCGGATGGCCACACCCCAGAAAACACTGCAGTAGTGCATGCCACACAACCTACCTGTGTGCAGTGGGCTCCTGTCAAGACAAACTTGGAAGCACCAGTGCCTCTTAAAAGGGGAGGTCGCGTTGAAAAAAACATCTTTTTTATTTGTTGACCTACAGAAATGAAATTTGGCATGCATACTCATAAGTGTCTCGAATTGAGAAATATGCAGTTTTATCATGATACCTTCAGTAGTTCTCAAGTTACATAATGCTACATAGTTCAATTACATGGTCTGCTCGTGGAAAACCTAGCGCTGTAACAAAACATGCCAGGAAGCTGTGAATGGTGTTGATCTTTACTCAAAAGAAAGCTACAGGGTATGGCAATCTAAAAATTTTTGATAAATTCTCTCTTTTTTTTTTTTTTTTTGAGATCATCATGGCTGCCGACACACATTGTCAGAAACAGTGGCACGGACAAATCATCGTCTAGAAAAAATAGGGCCATAAAACAGAAATTGAAGATTGCTGTACCCACAAGCAGTGTTCAGGGATTTAGGAAAAAAAAAAACAATCAAAATCGGTCCAGTCATCCCTGTGCTACTCTTTTCACGAGCAATGCACAATGTCCAAAACACACTTGTGCGAAAAAGCCTGTCGAAGTTTTCAACAGGCTTTTTTCGATGAACTTTCTTGTTTCTTGTTGGATATTGATGAAAACTGGCACAGAATGACCTCACAGTGCTTTCATAAAAATTTTGAAGCGATACCACAAATACCTTACGAGAGACAAATTATTTCTTCATTGAACTATGTGGACGGGCTGAGCCCGACTATATTGAACCCGTTTATATAAAATTATCCCGTATATCGAACAATTCCTAAACACGGTAAGTTTACATTGAGAATATATAGCAAAAGTTTCTGTTTTATTGAACGAAAATAGCAACGACAACTGATATATCAAACTCTATGTGCCTCAAAAGTGCCCCAGCAAGTTGGCTTTCCCTCGCGGTGGCGGGGAAAACTGCCGGCGCCACTCTAGAAAAAGTTGGTTAGACACGGTTGTGCGTGGGCGAACACCCCCCTCCAAGAAATGATTCTGGCCCGCTCGCAGCGCTTACAGCCAATCAGAGGCCGTCGTGCTTTCTCCGAGGCGCGGAGGTGGTAGAAGTGAGCGCCATTTTTTCTTTCTTTATGCTTGTGTGCCTGCTGCTGCCGATTCAGCATGGTCTGTGGTGTTGCCTAATGGTGCTCTGTGAACTGTATTGGCGCGCTGTCATCATGGCTTGCGCAAAGAGGCAAAATTTGTCGTTCGCCGCGAAACTCGAAGTCATCGATCGGGTTTAGCGCGGTGAAAAGAAGTCTGACGTCGCTGCCGCGTACAAAATTTCTAGGAGAACCTTGAGTACTATCCTGAAGAACAAGGCACACATCAGGGCCAAGTCGGACAAAAGGCCAGGTGCCCGTGGCGCCTGGCCTTCAATCGGGTTGAGCATGGTGAAAAGAAGTCCGACGTCGCCGCCGCGTACAAAATTCCACGGAGCACCTTGAGTACTATCCTGAAGAACAAGGCACACATCAGGGCCAAGTCGGACAAAAGGCTAGGTGCCCGTGGCGCCCGACGTGTGCGCGCTGCTGTGTACGAAGATGTTGAAGCGGCCGTTTACAAGTGGTTTGTAGACGTTCGGCCGCGAAACATCCCGGTGTCCGGCCCTATGATCGAGCAGAAAGCCAAGGACCTTGCTTTTCTGCGTGGCAGGAAGGATTTCCAAGGTAGTTCAGGCTGGGTTCAGCGGTTCAAAGAACGGCACGACATGATTGGCAAAGCTGTTACAGGTGAAAGCAGAGCAGCGGACCTGGACAGCGTAGAAAAATGGGTCGAGGAAGACTGGCGAGATATCGCAGCAAGATATAGAGCCCAAAATACCGTAATTACTCGAATCTAACGCGCACCCTTTTTCCGGTTAAGCGAGTTCATAAATCGCATGCACGTTAGAATCGAGTACGAACAAAAAAATTACGGTCAATCTATTGCCATCGCAAATCCAATATGGCCGCCCCCTACGTGCGTCGGCATGGTGCACGGAGGCTTCCTCTGTGGCATGGTGCGTCGGCTATTTCTGCCTATGTGTTTACCATGTGCGACACTTCGTACGTGTGCTGAGGAGTTCGTCATCTAGTAGTGCATTAGCATCGACGACGTGGAAGGGCCGACTCCAAAAACTCGAGTGCACCACGATGCCGCTTTTAAAAGAAAAGTCATCGCGTGTGCAGAAACGGACGGAAATCGGGCCGCATCGCGGTCCTTCTCGAAACGTGCGTGCGGGACCGGCGGAAACAAAAGCAGAAGATTGTCGACAGCAAAGCTTCACGCAAAGGCTTCAGTGAACCACAGCAGGGTCGGTTTCCGCAAATTGAAGAGCTGCTCCGCGAGTATGTGTTTGAGGAGCGAGCGGCACAGCGGCCCATGACGACAGAACTGCTCCAAGTGCGGGCTATGCAATTAGTCTTAGAAAAAAGTCTAATGCGGAGCCTGTTTAAAGCGAGCAGGTGCTGGCTAATTAACTATATGAAGAGGAAAGGCTCTTCCCTCCGAAGGGGAACATGCATATGCGAAAACTTTTGCGGAGAAGTACGATGAAAAGCTTTACAGTTCTCAGAGGTTCGTCCTAAACTTGCAGCGCAACAACGGCTACCTGCTTGGGCAAATCTGGAATGCCGATCAGACGCCTCTTTACTTCGACATGCCTGGCACCACAACTGTCGAGAAGAAGGGGGCGAAGCAAGTTCGCGTGCTGACATCGGTCCACGGTAAAACTACAGTGACGGCAATGCTCTGTTACACGTCAGATGGGCACAAGCTTCGCCCGTACCTCATATTTAAATGGAAGACAATCCCGAAAGGAATCGTTTTTTCGAGTGGTGTGATCGTGCGGGCCAGCAAAAAGAAATGGGTGCGCGTTGCAATCGATGTCTTATGTTTTTTTTTTTTTTTTTTTCGCGGTGGAAATCGGGTGCGCGTTACAATCGAGGGCGCGGTATAATCGAGTAAATACGGTAAACGTTTTTTGGCGAGTTTGATATACCCGGGTTCGAATTTATTGAGAAAGCTGCGTTTAAAGTTTCAACTTTTTTTTTACTTCTCTAAGATACCTAAAAATTGTGATCTCGGGTTTGTCTTGTGATACTTGACTTCTTTTCATGATTTACTCCTTTTCATGATTTACAAAGAACAAGTATGGATTTCAAACCAAGTTTTTTGTATGAAGGAGTGGTGTGATAGGTATGACAGAAAACATTGTAATTAAATAAAACCATATACTGAAATTATTACACACATTTTTTTTGTGCTGATGTTGTAATTAGCATAATTAAGTACTTGATTACAAATATTCACTTAACTTTTCTTTATTTGGAGAGAGGTTTTTTGCAACAGAAAAATGGATCACACATTGTCGGCCTATGCCTTCTTTCCAAATAACAAAGTTATGGGCAGAAGACTGGTGGCACAGGAATTTTTAGCAGTATAATTAATGACTCGAAACGGGCATATAAAAATTCGTGCCCCTGATTCATACATGCTCTTTTGCCGCTCTAGCCGCAAAACGCATCATTATACAGCCGGTCACGGAAACTCTAGTCTACAGCAATTCATTAACCTCAGAACATTCATAGACGTTCGTGGTGATATCAAGCATGGCTCCAAGCATGTCTGAATCGCATCACAAAAGCTCATTGACAGCACTCCATATGACCGTGGGGTGCGCGGCCTTGTGTACAGTGCACTTGCCGGCGGCGTTCGGTGACGATGCGCGAAATATGTAACTATGATGACAAAAGATCGGCACGCACTGCGCTTGGCATCGCGTTTTCGAATGATGACGCGCGAAACTGCTAGCCGCTGTTCCGAGCATTCCTTAGCAGTGAAGGGGGGTGGGGGGGACGAGCTTGACTGTGTTGTCCGCTGCCGATGCGTAAAAATCCCGTACGTGATTCAGAGAAGCTAGCAAGTGATGTGCTACGTTCCTTGCGAAGAAGCACGTCGCCAAGAGTGCGCTAGCGCGTCGTTTCTGCCCGCAGTTTCGCTCTCGGCGGAGTGCGGGCTAAAGACGACTCCGATGATGCGCGGAGCTCGTAGACTGCGTGCCCGCTTGTAGTAACATGATCGCGCATCCGCTTACTGCTCGTAACTAAAGCGTTATTATATCTAAAGTGATCATAAAGCCGTGAACACAACACTATGTAGTGATTTTCGGGAGCCATGTCCTTGCGACGCACAAGCAGCAGACGACGATTTCCCGGAGCGAGCATCGTGCCATTGGCGAGGCGAGCTGAGGCAACATGGCAGCCATGGCCAGTCAAGGGCCTCAAAACAACCTTCAAACATTTGCCTTTTGTGCGCTTGTTGTTAAAGGGAGGAGCCAGCTGAGGCAGGAAAGTTAAACATGGAGAAATGCCCTTTCTGATGAGCCCAAGAAGCTGGCTCTCAGCCCAAGCATGGCAAAGCTATAATTTTTTAAAAATCGCTGTTTTCTCGCCATTTCCAGAAAAAGTTTTGCTACCTTGGTGGATGAAACGAATTTTCCGAAGCGCTTCTGCGCAGTTTTCAGTGTAGATATTTTGGTACCAGATGGAAAAAGGGTTCCAGAAACGGAAAACTTGAGTTTCAAAAAATCAATTTTTTTGCCATTTTTCGCAATCCTAAAGCCGCATCCCCCCTTGAAAAGACGTGCTTAGTGCGTCCAAATGCCTTGGTGATGCAAATCTCGCGGGGTCACCTAATACAGTGTAGGCCACTCGGGGGGGAAGGGGGGGGGGGGGGTTGCTAGCACCGCCTGCAAAGTTGTTTGCGCCTTGTGGCACACAGGTGTCTTGCGGATAGGCCACATTTAAGGGGG